AAGCACTTTGGGGGTATAAGGTTTGCGGGTATGAAGTAAGAACAGGACCTAGTTTAATAGAGGAACATGTGAAAGGCCTTTGTCCCACAGTGGAGGAGTTCAGGCTTATGGTGATAAATTGATTATAATAAACATGACTGGTAAGGCCGTGACGTGCACACAGCAGTTGTACTTACCAAAAAAGCGTCGATATACCACGTAACGCTTGGCTTAAATGAAAAATACAATTTGGGCAATCATGGCTCACTGTTTCGCACGAAACAGAGTGCCACAAGGCATGCGGACTTGTTGTACTAGCACAATTAGGCTGTCGCAGAAACCAATAGGCGCTAAAGCGCAGTCGTCAGCGTTTCAGTGAAGCAAAGAGATAATAAAAAAGGCAATTGCAGTGTCTAAACTCTTTTTCAGTAAGCGTCACCTAAACTTAAACAAAAATAAAGTGGCCAAAATAAAACCTGCCACTGACGGATGCCAAACCAGCAAACCTTCCTCTCGTCCCCTTTATTGGACATTTAGTGAATGCAAAACGATGGAGTAATAGCCAGTGTCACTCGCAGCAGTGAAGGAAAACCCGGCATGCTAGGTATATGCCTGAGGCAGTCTGCTTTTTAGGTCGAATAGCTGTGTCAAACTTCTGTTGTAATTACTGCAGTACAAAGTATACTGCAGAAAATAATGTAGATTCACTTTCAGTATTGTTGTGGAAACAAAAGAACAAGTCCTTAAAAATTTTCCTCCAGTCATGCATAATAGCTCTGTGGCATTCATATAATTATTTATTTGGTTTGTATTATTTATTTGGTATTATAAGTTCATACTTTTTGTGAGCTGCTCTCGCTGCGCTATCAATGTAGGACATATCTAAATGTGTTTTAGGGTCTTATGGGCACCGCGCGAAGAACTTAACAAACTATTTGCATGTCCTTGACAATTTAAACGTTCGCCAACTATACAGAATAACTGTTCGCTTGTAAAATAGGTCTCTGTCAAGCGACGCGTTCATCGACCACGATAACGAGGAGCCAGCAATGCCCTTGCGACAGGCTTATCAGGGTGCTGTTTTAGAAGATGGTGGTGCAAACGCAAAGAAAGGGCTGAAGCCCTTGTTCGCATAGCACCTACGATTAAGGCCAGTCTCTCCTTCGTTGATTCAGCGCAATATGCAGCTTCCAATCGCTTTGTTTCAGCAGCTTCATCTTTATGGAAAGAGCTGCTGACATCACCAAAACCTAATAACTTGGATGCCAGCAATGCCGAAGAGGTGACAGTGGGCAACGCGATGGCCACTACAAACCGTTCTACTATTTTCACGGACTCGCGAGCCGCTACAAGAGCATTCATAAAAGGTTCGGTGTGGAATGGAGTTGCTCGCATTCTTTCCACTGCATCTTGTGCATGTAAAAAGAACCTAATTTGGTTTCCTGGTCACGTGCAAACAATCGAAACCATCCCCAACGCCAGTGAACTTCCAAACTTCCAGGCGCTAGGTATCACTTTCCGTAGCGGAAGTGGGCACTCGGAGGACGAAGGAGGTCAAGGGCAAAAAAATCCTCGTCTCACTTTTAACGACGTCTGCAAGCACTATCAGCTGGGGCGTTGGAAGTTTCCACTTCTACACTCACACTTAAACAGACCGCAGGCTATCACCCCGCGAATATCACAGACGAACACATATCCATCTCCGTCTATTTCACCAAATGTTTTGACGGAATACCCCCAGGTTCTGCACGCTGTGGTGATCCAAGTTGCTACATTGGACACATGCTGTTACAGTTTTACGCCTTTCGCGTTGGTCCGAGGTCTCCCTTTACTGAGAATGATTGGCTCCAGCTCATCACCAGCTCCGCTAAGGACCAGCAGCTAAGGGCTGTCCAGGCAGCTCGATGAAGTCGCCGAGAGCCTGGACCTCCCGGCGCCATCGTCCGTGGGGCCCCCAGATCAATATATGGCCGAAGCTGCAGGATATATTAGAAAGTGACAAGAGTTAGCATCACATCACCAAGGTCTGCCAGAAGCAGTGTACGGAAACACTCTGAGCACAGTTTCGTCTCTTCTCGCACTTAAAGCGTGCCAGTTCGAATGACCATAAAACGTTTGTTTTTTCGAAAAAAGTACATTTTAGTCGCTTGACTTGGTTTCTGCTGCGCCGAACGCTGTCTTTCATGGTAGTGAATATTCGGTTTAATGAACCTACAGTTGGTACTTTGAAGTTCACTGAAGCGAATGGTCATCGTACAAAGCTCCTGGGGTGATAACAGGCATTTCATTCGAATCAAGCAAAAGGGGTTGCAGTTGTCAAATATTCAGGAAGAATTTTTGAGCATATGCGTTCGCCACTACTCCATATTTGACATAGGAAGGCACTGAATGATGGCAGAGGCAGAGGATGAGGAAGAAGTGAGAATGTAATAAAAAAGTTATCGAAGTCAAGTGTAATCAATAAAAATAACATTTCCAAATTCTGGACATTTCTTTTAAGTTGCAAGGCACCGTTCATTTCATGGCTGATCTCCCATGGTGGGTTTCGCCAGGATAAAAAGGAGAAACAACAAACACAGTATATGAGCCAGGCTACGTCTCCCGGTCATCGTAGCGTCACACCAGTCGACAGGATGAAGACCTTCCAGTACCTTCATCAGTCGCTCATCATCGACGCAGTTCCCCACTAGACGTCCTGACCATACATTCACTACCAAATCATCGAGAAATACAAGGCGACCAGCACCTTGACAGAAACATTGGAAGACCTTGAAATCCCCAAAAACACCGAATCAGCGAATGACGAACCCATACGGGAATGGTTCAACCTATTCGAGCTCCACGCCACCGCTTCATCCTGGTCGGAATGGGAGATGGTTTCAAACTTGAGCGACTAATTTACTTGTGAGGCATTCAAATTTTACCTCACCCACATATTCTAAAACGACGAATACTTGCAAAAGACCCGAGAAGAACTGATTGCCCGTTTTAACGACTACGACAAGGACTTCCTCATTACCAGTCGTCTTGAGGCGATAACACTCGGCCGTCACAGTCCACAATCTTTATTCAATGGAGATAGCTTTCCATCAGGTTTCTTTTCCCGAAAGCCCGTATTTTCCAAGTCCTCGCTCCATAATACGACACGCGATGTTGCTCACCTACCTAGTGCCCTTCATTCTTCGCCTGTCATCTGTCGTTTACAACTCGGTTTTTCATTACGCTGCTCCTCAAGCGCTATTTTACGCTCACCAGTTGCGTCATAAGGACGCCGTGTTCCACCTGAAGTTACCTGATGTTACCACCTGACGGGGCCATTCTCGTATTCTCAGGCCCAAATAAAGTTCTTTGACGAACCGGCTGGGTCCTAGTAAGGATATTGACGGAAACGCACCTGCAAAAATGTGCCAACTCGCTCAAATAATTGAGAAAATATCACTTGTGCAGGTCTTGAAAAAGTTGTTCTGGTTTATAAACATGATAGATGCGTTTCTCGGGATTTTATCCTGCCAAGTAGCCGATTTAGGTTATTCAGAGATATGTGACAAAGCTCTGTATAGAAATAAACTGACGAGAAAAACATTCAGCTTCTACATGAATCGACTATCCGTTTTTCAGAGAAGCCGTCATAAAATTGTGCGTAAGTGTTGTGCGTAAGTGTTGCCACGAAGTAGGCTAAGTGTTGCCACTTAGCCTACTTAGTTTAATGTTAAGTACAGTGCGTGTGCTGGCGAAATCAAAGAGAGGCATGAATTTGAACAAACAGAGTTCTTAGCTTCAATAAATTGCTGTTTTGCTTCCGCGCAGCTAAATAGTGGCACAAAGAAGTTTTACAAACAATATGATCAAGGCAGCCGCCGCACCCCGTGCGTGGGCGAAGGAATCCTCAAGCAGTTATTGAATGGCTTTGCCTTTCGCCTTTCATCATATGTGTTCTGAGAAACAAAGAAATCAATCAATCGATTGTGTGTTTCATGCCCATCGGTGGCTTTGTGTGTCACAAAAATAGCTTTCCTGAATAAGACAACCACCGTTTCTCTAAAAGCAATGTAATGAATGCGACAGCATTCATTACATAAGAATGTCATGAAAAGTAAATGTTGCGGCTTCTTTCTTCAAGCCCATCTCGCATAAATCAAATATACATTGTTTTAAGAGAGTAGGGCTGCTCTTCAAACCGAATCAGTTTGCATGCTCTAAGTTGTTCAAAGTGGAATTTAGCCTTGAAAGCGCAGCGAGTTCAAAAAGTCTCCTGGAGTTTGTCGAAATAGCCTGCCTTACAGCGACTACGTTTTTCCTGCGACGCTGCCCTCTCCTCACCTTCCAACGTCCCTACGTGAACATTAGGAAATATTGTTCTTTCTGCTTAATAATCAATCAACGGGAGGACTCGCACACTGGTTGATGTTTCGTGCCCTTCCGTGCAACATAGACGGCCGGCTCATACCAACGATGGCCCATTGCAACCATGGTTGTCGCCAGCACTCGCAATCTTTGATTCGCGTGTACAACACAATATGCATTGGTTGATATTACCAAATAATGCTTTCCCCAGAACTCGAGGCCAACGCCAACGGCAAAAACTGGTCGAGGGGGTTCATATAATCGCTACCACTATAATAAACCAAGCCGAATAATGGCGTTAGAGCAATTTGTGTGTTGGTATGTTCTTGCTTATTTCTTCAAATGCGTACATCAAATAGCCGCAAAAAGTTTCGCAAATATTATCCATCGAAGTAAAATAATTATTTTGGTAATTTTCAATACTTCATTAACCGTTTGTGTCTCTTTAGGTGGTTCATTCGGTATTCAGGCTTTTCCTCGAATTATGATGTGCCACCTATGCACACAATAAAAATATAAAAAAACATCGTTAAAATGAGCAGCTTTCGTTGGAATGTATTAGGCCAAGAGGCTATGAAACCACAATATTTGTTCACACGACTGGAGTATTCTCCAAGATGTTAGCAGATGTGGACACGTTGATAAAAAAGAAATGAACGCAACTACGCAAAACTTACCCATCTGCCCCGCCGATTCCTTCGTTCACTTACTTCAACGCGTTTTTTCAAGGAAGTGTCGAACATAAATAACCCGTCGTTTTCTTCATAACTAGCCTTAGTATGGGCTGGTATGTAACCCAGCAAAGCATAGAAAAGTAATAGGTGGATAAAGAGCAAGCTGCACATTCTTGCACAGTATCTCCGAGAAACGCACTGGCCTGTTCTAGAAATAAGAGTTTCGATAGTCTATTCATAAGGTGGCGTCAAAGCAACAGCTGCAAACATAAATTTTGTCTACATGAAGTCAGAAAGTTCAGTGCAGCGAGATGAAAGAAGAGTTAAAAATTAATTGCTATGGCGCTTTATAAACTACTCCCTCACTACGCAAAGACAATGTAGTCCGAACAGATGTCACCGTCAATCCCATTTGTTTAAGCTGCTGCAGTGTATGTGGCTTAGGTCAGCCTATGAACAATTCGAACCATGGGCAGAAAGTTCAAAAAAAAGTTGTTCGAGGGCTCACACAAGAGGTGATATAAAAAATGCGTTAGAGTAACGTTATGAAAGCGCGAAGACCTCCTTTGTTCTGCACTGCAGCTGCCAGCTGCAATAAAAAAGCGAATACTGTTCCGTTCCTTCCCGTCAACGTAGGTGACAAATTTAGTCAGCTGACTCTCCACTGGTGTAATTTTTTATTTAGTAGACTATGACTTCAATGCTGAATATAATAAAATTATATTTGGAGTATGTCACGTTTTCATTAATTTAATGAACAGCTCCTGGAACGACAACTCAAGGTATGGGCGTAGCGAGCTGATGGAAGTCTTCTCAATAAAGAAAGAGAGCAGTCACTGTTTTCACGCACTAGCTAACTATGCAAGAGCTTACTCCAAAAAAAAAATGATTTTTTCCAATAACGAGTTTTTGATGGTCTTTCCGAACGTAGGTATTTGTGCATGCAAATTATTCTTCTCACGCATACTGAGAGAAGCACTTGCGGAAGCATGGCCATTCCCAAAACAAATGAAGTGAATGAAGTTCCAAAAGAACAACCAATTTGTGAAGATAATATTGAAGGTGTAGGTGATTCTTCTCAAAAACTACCTTCGCTCAATATCTAAGCTAATAACCCTTCTACTCTGACACTTAGTGCACTTTATTCGAGGAAGCTGGTCGAAAGTGGTTGATATGTTCCCCTCAGTTTAAGAATACATCACGGGATACACTCTTAAAAGTCGATTTCACAGCACGTGAGACCTATATATTGTTGACTTACGACTGGGCTCACCTCTGTAGCTGCACCACGACTGTTTGCTAGGAAAAGGCTTTCTCTCTGAAGGGTTAATCATTCTCCTGCTCACCGTGTTCACACCTCTACAACTCCGTAATATGTAGTGGTAGTGCTGCTGTGGAAGTATTGTGTATACCACCTGCAAAGCGTCCACGACGTCCTATTCATGTAGAAGCACAGACGCGAACACGCATTATCCAGCTACAAGAACACTCCTGCTGCTAGCTCTGAAATCCAGATGGTTTCTCTAGAAATCCGTAAGACAATGACACTGCAGTGGCCACTATGAAAGACGCTCCTAGTTAATTCTAACTAGTCGTGAAGGTGCCATTAAAACTGATATATTGATAACATAGACACTGATAAGCTGTTTAAGAGGTCTAGTATCATCTGTGTGAGAAGAAAAAAATATAGAGTGTTTAGGGCACAGTGTGCCGTAAAAAGTGGAAACAGTTAATTCACACTACAGAGTGAAATTTGACCTAAAATTAGTTTTCTGGGCCCCTAAAGACTAAGGGTTTGCGTTATTGCCATTCATTGCTTTACGGCGAATCCTCCACGAGCATGTTTGTAGTCAACAGCAGCCATAAATAATGATAACAATAATAAATATAGTAATAATAAAAATTAACAATAATACATTGTTTTTTATTATTATTGTTTTTGTATTTTCAGTGCTTTAACATTTCAAAACCGGGATATCATTATGGCAAACGCCGTAGTGGAGCGCTACAGAAATTTCGACCCTCTGGAGCTCATCCAGGTGCACCAAAATCTAACCATACTGGCCTCAAACATTTTTCACCTTCATCAAAAAAGCCACTGTCACGGCCGAGATTTGATCTCGTGACCTTGAAGTCAGCAGTCGAGTGCGAAAACCACTAGGCTTTCGCGGCGCGGTAGTTCGACTAACATACACTCATGACCAGACAGTTTTTTCTATACACACTGTCACATACTTCGCTCTAGTATACTACACAAGTATCTTTGAAACATCTTCCGCAGGCTGAATATGATTCCAACAGTTCAGCTTGATGAATCGCAATCTGAGAAATCTGACAACGTTAATTTTACAATCGCCTTTTTATTACTATAGGAGACAATAAAATGTCTCATTCTTCAAATATCGCATCGAAAGTATTCAGGCGTGATACCGTGAATTTCAAAGTGTCTAATTTGCGATGTGGAGACTTCGGCGAAACGAAATGTCTTGATGCTTGGTATGTTAAGACTACGTGTCACTCAGAGGATAGTGTGATTTGTTTTTACCAATGAGGAACGAGTGCACACGCCAGCTGACGCTGACCAAATTTATCACGTTACGGTGATTGGTGCTAATTGTTCCAGGTAGCATCGCCACTCTCGTTTTCTGTTTACAGTTTTCTCGCTCACCAAGTATTCTAGCTACAACCGTGGCGATTTCGAAACTGCTCGAGTAGTTTACAAATAGGCGAGCAATAAGTTCCACTCCTCGGGATCGACTAAGTTCTTTGTCTATCTGTATGACGTGACCCGGTGCATCTGCGCGCCGGCGTTCGTTTCGTCGCGTCACGCCGGCGATGCCACGCCAGGTGCCGTTCTGCCTGCCATATACTCGCAGGCGCAGGCTTTGACGCGTGGGCGTTTGAGCGTGCCCCGCGTCCCTCCATCACGAAGAGAGGCGGAGGCGGTGCTATCTGGGTAAAGTGGTCGGCACGGCATAGAGCATGTAGGCTTTCACGCCGGTCTTGAGTAGTGTGTAACATAAGACAATAGAGTGCTCGCGTTTCGCTAGCGTGGCATCGCTGCGCCCAACGTGCGCGCGCGTCAACGTTACGTCGGGGTATATTGGGTTCTTCACGGTGCGCTCGCCGCCATTTCGCTAGCTTCACATCTACCACATTTGGTATAACGAGACGTAAATGCGCGACGAAGGAATGCGACTGGTGCAAACTTGATAATCTTCGAATGCGTCATATGTCACAACATGACTACACTCCACGGTCATGATGCCTTTGCGGTCGTTTCTCTAGTTACACATATACCAAATTCGGTATCACGTGACGTGAATAGACGACTAAGGTAACTGACACGTCTAAACATGATACTCATGATATGCGCGTCGTGTAAAAGATGACTACCTGATACGCTCATAGCATGCTCGTGGCTCTTTCACTACTTCCAAATATACAAAATTCGGTATCACATGACGATTATAGACGATGAAGGTAAATGACACTACAAACGTGATAATCCCAACATGCGTGTGACGTAAAAATTAGGTGACCCTAAAGGTTCGCCTTTAGGTGCTCAACGTGACAGTGACATCCTGTCCCTAATACGTGCTTCAAAGACTTAGTGCCTTAAACCTTTTCTAATTTACTATGCTTCCACAACGTGGGTTTAAGGGCTGAGGATAATTTTTCAATGATTATTCGTTCACAACCAACGACAACGACGCCGACGCCGGAATTTTTGCGAAATGAGCTTTATAACACTACCACGTTAAACAAGTCAGTAGGTTACGGCCGTAGCGTGCTCGCGTCCGTTTTGCTAGCTCCACGTATACTAAATTTGGTATCACATGACGTGAATAGACGACGAAGGTAAATGACACATGCGCCGTTACGGTGGTCTAGTGGCTAAGTTACTGGCTACTGACCCGCAGGTCACGGGGTCGAATCTCGGCTGCGGCAGCTGCATATTCGATGGAGGTGCAAATGTTGTACGCCCGTGTGCTCAGATTTGAGTCCACGTTAAAGAACCCCAGGTTCGAGAAATTTCTGGAGTCCTCCACTATGGCATCTCCCATAATCGTATGGTGGTTTTGGGACGTTAAACACCGCACATCTATGAAAGTAAATGACACGTCCAAACCAGATAGTCACAACATGAAAGTCATGGGCGGCACAATTTACCACCGGCTCGGAACATTGTGCGGATTTTGAAGTGACATATGAACCTTCATCATTCAAGCATCGCATATCATCGATTCCCAACTTACGTGGGTTCTGCCAAATAATATTTGAACGCGTAAGTGCAAAAGAGGTCGTTTCAGAAAGATCCTGGTTTCGGTGCCGGAATCTTCAGTTTGCCAGAAAAACATCACCTTTTATATGGCGAAAAAATGGAGGAACCGCCAATAAAATAAACAATGAAAACTTCAGTTCGAGTGAGAATCGAATTCAGGTTGTCTGCGTAGCAAACAGATGTTGTCCCACAGAGGCAAGCCAATGGTTGAAACTTAATAAAAAAAAAAACATGAATGTCTTGTAGTTGAAATTCTTAAAAATATTGTGCCTAAGCAACAGAGCGAGTCCATGTGTTTGCACTTATTTCCTTCATGTAGTAGAAGGAATCTCTTTAACGCACGCAATGTTATGTGGTAGAAGCGTGGAATTGCGCCAGGCCTCAAAACAGGGAAATATGCGGGAAGTATGTGTTTTGAAGGCCCAAACTTAAAGGAGTGCCTAAAGATATGTTCTCGTGTTGCCTCACGCACGCGTAGTTGGCCCTTCGCTGATTAGCAAAACAAATATTTATGGCCTAGTTGGCTCTTAAAAACCATTGTAGTTGAGTTGAGCGCACAGTAGTTTGTTCCCTTACGGCTCAGTCGAGGCTCGCACTAAGGCTAAAGTGAGGCTAGTAATTGAAAAGGTGTTTTGCACAGGGCCCGCTTATGATTAAACTAGACATGTAGATACGCTATCGCTTTCTACTGCTGAAGGCAAAGTTCAAGCGTATTCCAAGTTTTGTTTTTGGTACTATTGTGTTTGTCTCTGTTTAATTGTTTTCACATAACATACATAATACTCGTAGGCAACACCTCTACCATAATCGCCAATGTCATCCCTCCCGCTTTATTAATAATAAGAATAACAGATTGAAATAGAATGAAATGATAATTTTTATTTGTACGACAAGATGAATTCTCGGGTACCGTGCAACGCTAGACAGGAAATCCTGTTATGACCGTTCGTCTGTTAGCCCGTCACCGCACGACGAGAGAGGCTGGGGGCTACAAATATTAGCTTTTCAAGCTGCTTATAGCAGCGTTT